TTCTCCTCATTGCCTCTTTCCTAAATTTTTCACCCTTTGAATTTCCCTCTCTTAAAATAAAAACCGGAAATTCCCCTTTGCGTGAAATTGTATCATCATCATCAGCGTCATCATCACCACCGCCTTCTAACTAACTTCGGGAGGGGGTGTGGGGTGGGGGAAACGGGGAATAGTAATTGAAAAAAATTTTGTTTTTGTTTATCTTTTTTTTTTTTTTTTTTGCTTTTGTTTTCGGTTGGGAAATTTGAATTTTTTTACTAAAAAAAAAAAATTTTCAAAAATTAAATATTCATTTTTTTTTTCGTTTTTGTTTATTTTTTATTATTATTATTATTGTTGTTTTTTTTTTTTGGGGGGGGGGAGAACGAGAAAAAAAATGCGTCGAAATTGATAAATAAAATAAAAAAAAAAAATTTTTAAAACTCGAGTTTTTTTGTTTTGATTAATTATTTCACGTTCGAATACTTTCTTTTGTTTTTTCTTTTTGTTTTCCTTTTCATTCGGGAATGAAAGGAAGACGCAATTAAAGTCGTCGCAATGATTCGAGAGTTGACGAAATTTCATCATTTTATATTTAGGTATTATTCGTTACGATTGTCATTGAAAAGTTTGTTCAAAAAAAATTTAAAATTGCTTAACAATGGTGGTGGTAAACAATTGTTACCGATCGCGCCCATCTTCAAAACTTTCCGACGCCATTTTGTTTTTTTTTTCTTCTTCTGCTAGGAATTCGTTCGAATGAGCACACGCACACCCTTATAACTCTTTACAAGTACTACCACGTAACTTTTTTACATCGAGTGAAACAAGGAGATTATTATTTATTTTGACTTTCTTTCTGCTTTGTTTAACTTGCCCTTATTATCTTCGAACGCATTAAATAAATAAAAAACCAAATAGTCCGTCATTAAACAGATTTGAAATTTCCGTATTGATTTGCCATCTTGAACCCTTATTGTCTACATCACGCCATCATTTCCCCCCCCCTCCCCCGTGGTATCGTCATAGTAACTAAGCAATATCAAATGATTTTAAACAAATTAACAAAAAAAAAAAAATTTTTTTTTAAAACAAGGTTTCGTACAAAAATCAAATAACTACCAATAATCGAAAAAAACAAAAAACAAAATGTCGGATTGCAACAACAATTTCAAAACATTTCACATTCAAATCAACTTCCGCCGAATTTTTTTCTCACTCTATCATTATTATTATCACGAAGTTTTTCGTTCTTATGGGGATGTTTGCATAATACGTACGTGAGACATGACAACGAAAAAAAAAGAAAAAAAAAAACTCGTTAAACAAACGTTATTTTTTTTTTTTTTCCGAAGGAATCATATCGACAAACATATTAACTCGCAACATAACATATTTTTTACACCCTCCCCCCTTTTTAAATAAATTTTACGTTGAAAAAACAAAAGCGGAAAACAAAAAAAAAAAAAAAATATCAATTTTCACGTTTTTTTAAAATATTTTTCTTCGTAAACTTTTTTCCTCGAGCAATATATATATTTTATTAAAAAAAAAAAAAAAAAAAAGAAAAGTATTTTGTTACGGTTGTTGCTGTTGTCGTTTGTTAGTACAAAAAAAAATAAAACACACCATGTCACTTCCGAATCGCAACAACATGTTCCTCCCTATTATTATACGTATCAATCACAATTTCAATAACAATAAAATTATAAAATTCGTGACATAATTGAATGTATTAATAATAATAATAATAATAATAATAATAATAATAATAATAATAATAATAATAATAATAATAATGATAATAATAATAATAATGATAATGATAATAATAATATTAATATTAATAATAATAGAAGCGGGGAAAAAAAAAACAAAAACGATCCAAACTATTTTCGAACCGAAACAAACAATTACTCAATAAAAACAAACAAACACAAAAAAAAAAATTCCCGATATTTATTTTATTATTATTATTATTATTATTATTATTATTATTATTATTATTATTATTATTATTATTATTTAAAATCGTTCAACGCCAAGTAAATTTATATATACATACACACATAATAAGCGTGTAAATATGAAATAAATTTTTTTTTTTTTTTTTTAAATTTAAATTATGTATTGGCGTATTTAAAAAAATTGAAATTTTTTCCTTCTTCTTCCTATCGTAATAATAATAATAATAATAAAAAAACCGTTAAAATTCAAAAATTTTTTTTTTTTTAAAAAATAAAAAATAAATGTGAAATATTACATTTAAAATCGTTCAACTAATAAGTCAACTGTCATCGTGTCAATAGATATTTAAAATTACGTCCTTCCTTTATTAAATTATACGTGCACAGTTACAGACCTAAAAAAACTATTTTATTTTATTTTTTTTTATACTTGTTATTATTATTATTACCATTATTATTATTATCATTTATGTAATAAATTAAAATAAATATTTTTATTATGTAATTATATAAATTAAATATATATTTTTTTTTGAAATATTTTATATGGGATCACTCAGAACAAAAAAAATAATAACAATCTACAATCTTGCATGAAAATAAATAAATAAATATTATTATTATTATTGTTATTAATATAAATAATAATGATGATAATGATAACAATGATTCGATCATCCGTGACAGAAATTCATTTATTTATAAACTTTTAAATTCTTTTATTTTATTTGTATTTGTTATAATCTTAAATGAAACTTGGCCAAAAATATTTTTAGGGCCAAACCCCTACTTATTATATTTAAATGTATTTGACCATCATTCAAAAAAAAAAAAAAGAAAACTCGACAATTAAAATAAATAAATAAATAAATAAATAAACGTTAAAGTGTGCGTAAGAGGATGATAATGATGATGAGTTCATTAATTAGATAAAAAAACATTAAATGCATTGTTTAAATTTTTGTAATTTCGTTCTACCTCCACGTTTTTTTTTTTTTTTTTTATAATTCCCCGACCCCCTCAACACGGAATTTTTTTATTTTTATTTTTAACAATTAATGAAAAGAATCGAATTTTTTTCTTTTTTTTTTATAAAAGGTTGAGTAATAATAATAATAATAATAATAAAATTTTTTCTCTCAATAATTTTATTTTTATCTCGAGATGGTAAAAACTGATAAATAAAAATTTAACTGCTGCCGTGCACTTAAAAAATAAAATGGTGGAAAAAACGAATGTGAAATTTATAAGAAAATTATTAAATAAAATTATAAAAAACGTTAAATTTTATATAAATTATCGATAATTATATGATTTTTTTTTTTTTTTAAATGAGATTCAAGTAAAGGGGTGCTAAAAACAAGTTGAAACAAAAAATTTATTTTAAGTTCCCTATTTTCTCTCTCTCTCTCTGACAAATATTCGAGTGGAACCGTTTTTTTTTTTATTTTATTTTTATTTTTATTCTTTTTTTTTTTTTGGAATTTAATAGTTTTATAAAAAAAAAAAAAAAATATTTACGAAAAGTAAATATAGAGCTTACGAAGTTTAGAAAAAAAAAAAAAAAAAGATAAAACTTACGTTTCATCGAGTTCGAAAAATTATTCCAAAATTTCTTTTTTTGTTCTTTTTTTTTCTATTTGTTTCTATGAGTTATATACTCTATCTCTCTTGTAATTGATTTCACATTCACGAATATTACATATATATTTTTTTTTACAAAAAGATTTTACTTTTTTAACAAACGAAATATTATTTAAAATAGTAATTAAAACGAATAGTTTTAATGACGTGTTATAAAATAAAATAAAAAAAACTTTATTATTAATTAATTAATTAAAAAAAAAAAAAAGGTAAAAATGCAAAATTATAAAATGATGACCGACATTGTTCTTAAACGAAAAAGCGACCACTGACGTAAATGACGGCGATTAAGCGTCTCGTCGCAAAAGATTTTCAACAGCGCATGTTAATCTCTGTTTAATAATCGTCTTGTTGCCCTTTTTTATTATAATCGTAACGGTTATTTATTTATTATTACTCTATTCTTTTGTGTTAAAGTGTGAAGTTTTTTCTTATAAAAAATTTTTTTTGTGCGTTTTAAATTGTTTTGTGTTTGTCGTTTTCGCGTAAAGTTAATTTACGTAAATGAACAAAATGAAGGTAAGCTTAATTTTTCTTTTTTTAAGTAATAGTTTACTAAATAAGTATGAAGGATAAAAATGAAAATTTGATATTAAAACTAAAACTCCACCATATTAAAAAAAATTCAAATTCTAAACGATTGTGTAAAATGTAACGATTGTAAAAAAAGGGGGAAAAATTTAATTTTTATTACTTGTTTTATTACAATCTATGTTAAATTTTTACTTAATTACATCTATAAAATTTTATTTAATACATAAATCCCTAAAAATAGGCTAATGTATATTACTCTTTTGAGACAATTTAAAATGGAAAAAAAGGTTTTTAGAATCCAAAAAAATGTTAAAATAGGATTTTCATTGTAAGTTTTTATGTAAAAATATTCAATAATGGAAAGTATATTGGATAATTAAATAATTTCATAAAAACTTTATCAAATATTATTATAATAAATAGGTTTATTTTTTTTTATTACTTCTAATACAACAGACTAATATTTACATCTACTCGATACAATTTTTTTTCTTTTTTTTTTTTTTAACATTTTACTACTTCGACACGTTCTTTTTCGAAATTATTAAATTACAAAAAGAAAAAATTAATGAAAATTCTGATAATTCTTTTAAAAATAAATTCTAAAACAAAATTAAAATTTGGAGGGATTCTCTAATTCTTCTAATTTGGAGGTTATGTAATCTTCTCCTCGTTTGTAAACTTAAATAAAAAACAAATTTAGCTTTAATTTTTTTTTTTAATATCAAAGTCATATTGGAGAAATAAAACTCGTTAAATCAGAATTTTCAATTAAATCGTGTTTAGCTCGTGTTATATTTCGCCTTTGACAATATGAAACAAACATAATTTGTTCTTTTTCTACCTTTTCCAAGGTTTTTTCAATCGTTTAAAAATTTAACTTTCGATATATTGTTGAGATGTCAAAACTGGATCCCCTTCCGAACTTGGAGCAAACGCGGATTGTTTTAAATTCAAAAGTTTTATAAGGGATTGTGGATCGGGATCACGTCCTCTGAATTCTCTAAAGGCTTCTTTTGCACTTTGTCCTCCTACGGTAGCTAAAAATGTCGACCTAAACCTAAATTGAAATAATTTCGTGAATTAAATTTTTTGAAAAACTACATAAATGCATAATTTAAAAAATAGTTTTTTTTTTTTTGAAAACTGACCTTTTCCCAATTTGAGAAAGTTTTTCTTGATTGTTAAATCCGGCTTCTGCAAATGCCAGATAAACATCTGCTGCCACCATGTATGACCATATATCACTGTACAAAGAAGCACTCCAAGAACCCGTTACTATTTCTTCCATTCCAAACGGGTGATTATCGAGTGAAAACAATTTAAAAAGTATATGTTTAGGCCACAAGTTCTGTACGATTTCGAGTACTCCATCGGTCGATAAATTTAATTCCATATCTAAATTTGATAAATATATCCTTTTGCACAAATTGGTGCCTGCCATGTATTTGAAATGGTTACATAAATTATCTAATATATGACTAGGTAAGGGTTCTCCCGTTTCGTAATGGCCACTAATACTTTCGAGCGTCCCTTTCTCGTACATCCAAAACATTAGCAATTGACTTGGAATTCCCAAGGCATCGGGTTCGATTCCCAATCCAGACAAATCAGAATATTTTACTTCAGTCAATGTGTGAAGGAGCATGTATCCAAACTGCAAAAAAAAAAAAAAAGAAATCCTTTGATTGGTGTTTAGAACCAAAAAACTTGTATCATGTTCGAATTGAAAATTAACTGACCTTTTCAAAAAAATCTGAAACTTCTTTTAAGTATAAAAGAGATGGTTTGTCCAATTCAGGTGGACTAAAATTAAATATCAATGCGGATAAAGCAATAGAATTACAAATTTTACTTTTTGATTTGATGGGAACAAAATGACTCGTTTCTTGATCTTTTATTTTTTTATTTTTGCTCGCGTAGGGATCCAAATAAAATCCACCCAGTACGTTTTTAGTTTTACTATCTGATATTCTGAAAAATCGTACGTCACGATGCCAACCTTCGACAGATAGTTGTTCTTCAATCACAATTCCAAAAAGTTGTTCGCAAAGAGCAATAACTCCGAGCAATACTTGAGAAAATGGAAAATAATTAACTAAAGTCATTTCGTCGATGTTTAATTCCTTTTTTAAATACATTCTTGACCAGTATGGAAAATCCCAACTTTCAATGGGTTTTTTAAAATCATTGTCAAAAGCGAATTTCTCGAGTTCGTATAATTCTCTTTCGTGGGCATTTTTAGAATTTTCTAACAATACGGTTAAAACTCCTTGTACGTTTTCTACATTTTCCGCCATTTTATTTTTCATGGACAAGTGTGCGTAGGAGGGAAATCCTAATGTTTTAGCATATAATAACCTATATTTCCTAATGCTTTCAAATTCATGTGTGACTTTTAATCTGGAGTCACCAAACCTCGAGCACAATTGATTGTATGATATAAACATGTGTTTACGAGCTTCCTCTGAAGGGCAGTATTCGAGATATCTTGAAAATACTGTTTTTTTTAAAGTAATAAACCAAGGTCCTGCATTTAAATCATCCCAATTTGCTGCAGTATTCCTATTAAAACAGAAAACAAATAATTTATTTATAATGCAAAAAATGATGGTTAGTAATTAATAGCATTACTTATTTTTTTTTTTCTTCCGTAACAATAAGTCGTGATCATTTACCTTACAAGATCTAACGGATTTTCCTCGGCAAATTTAGGATCAGTTATTGTTTGTCTAAATAAATATTTTGCTGTTTTTAATTTCCTTTCATACAAAACTTTATTAGTAATGAGTTCTCGATTAGCTATAGAATATTCTTCTCTTTCACTTTCTGGAAGAGACAGACCATTTAAGGTACCCTCCCAAACATATTTTTCCAAAAGTCTCCTTTCTTCCGGTGTGCACTGGTTCTTTTCATCTTCCAACATTTCTTTGCAAGCTTTAAATATAACTTGATTGCAAAATTTTTCATTTAAAGTTTGCACTACTCTACTATACAATGGGTAAAATATACTATTTGTAATAACATTATTGTTGGCATAATGTAAAGTTTCTACTGTTCTGTACGAGGATAAAAAGGGAACTGACATAATTTCTAATGGCTCTAATAAGTATTTGAAAATATTTTTCGATGAAGTAACATTGTTAAAATTGTCGCACAATTCCTGACATCCGCTATTGAAATGTTCGGCCAATTTGTGTACTAACATTCTACATGATCTCGGATTTAATTTTGAAAAATTTGGTAGGCTTTCTAAAGATGTTAAAGTTCCCTCTGCTAGTTCTTCAGCTGTTTCTGGAATTCTGAAATTAAAAATGACATTTAAAAATTATAGGTAAATCGATTTCCATGCATTAACCACATGATACAAATCAATTTTTTCAAATATATTTTTTATTAAAAAGATATTGTCAAAGTAAGAATTTAACAGAGAAAACCTCTTTTTAACAATTACATTAAACTAAAAATAATAATTTCAACAATTTGTACAAAATCAAAACAATCTGTTTAACAAAAAATTATTTTAATAAAAAAAAAAATAAAAATAAAATTTCCTGACAGAGTAGAAAATGAGGAAGTAATAATAATTTTCCATACACAAAAAATTAATAAATTATTATTATTATTATTTATGAATAAAAAATAATCATTTCATTAACGTAAATTTTATTTTTTAAAATAAATACAAAAAAAATTTCATTTGAAAAATTAATACAAAAATTTCATTGATATTAAGTTAGTAGTAGTCGAAGGTAATACAAGAAAAAAACCACGTAATATATTATTTCTTGTGTTTAATCACGGGATAATTTTTTTTTTGTATAAGGCAAAAAATATAATGAAAAAAAAAAAACACTCACAAAATAATATATGAATTTCTTTTTTGATTCGTAAATAAACTTTTTTTAAAATTAAAAAAACTTCTACGGTAAAATGTTGCAGCCATTTTTGTTTTTATGTATTTTTTTATTACTGCTTAAAATACAAGTTTTAACATTAGCCGGCTTATTAGTTATATTTTAATCCAATAGATAGCTCTTACGTAGCAAACAAACAAAAATAAATAAAAACAATCGTTTAAAAAATTGATTTTGCAATTATTTTTAAATCAAAATATTTTTACTCGTTGAATTTTTATAAAATAAATAATAATAATAATGATAATTTATGTGTAAAATGTATCGTTGTAATAATCGTATAATAAGTACATCGTAAAATTGTAATTTACAACAACAACAAACGTAAAAACCTGAAAAAAAAAAAATAAACACGAATATACATACACTTATCACTATAATTAATTATCACATTTTAGCATATTATCATAATATTATCATTTAATATAGCCACCGCATACGAAAATAAAAAATTATATTATTATGAAAAAAAAAACTTTATTTATTTATTTAATTAATTATATTAAAAACAAGATATAAAAATTTAAATTTTTTTTATTCAAACTATAAAAGTCAGTCATTTTTTTTTTCATATTGTAAATAATTTTCGTTTATGAATCAAAAAAAAAATGACAAAAAAACAGTATTATTATTATTATCATTGAATTATTATTATATTAATATTAATAACGAATGAATAAGTCTTTGGATAATCTTTTTTTTTACTATAAAAACACGTAAAACATTAGTAAAATAAAGTAAAAAAAAAAAAAAATTTCAATTGATAAAACCGTGAGAAATTAATTCAAAAAGAGATTATAAAGACTTGTTAAAGGTAGACATGATGAATTCTTTTTTTTTTTTTTTTTACACCTGGATGAGTTTTTTTTTTTTCTTAACATCGATTATTTTATTAAAAAAAAAAAAAAAAATTTCTGAAGAAATAAACAAAATGAATTTAAAAAAAAAAAAAAATTTAAACAAAATATTAACTTATACCCAAATATATTAAAAAAAAAAAAAAAAAAACTTTTTAAGGATTACCCAAATTTTTTTTTTTTTTAATTTAAATTTTTGGTGTAGACTTTGGGATATACACGCACACACACACGCACACTCACACACACACACACAATTTTTTAATGGGAGGGATAATATTGTAAATAATTTATAATGATTCAAATTTAAAATGGTTGTTAATGCCTCCAGGTAAAAAAAAAAAAAATTATCCTTAAATTGTTTCTTTTATTTTATTTTTGAATGATAAATAAATTAATTAAATATATAATAATAATAATAATAATAATAATAATAATAATAATAATAATAATGAATTTTTTTCTTTTTAAAGAGAAGAGAGAGAGAGAGAGAGAATTTATTTATTAAGTTAAATTTAAAAAAAAACGTTTAATTAATTTTTTTATTTTTTTTGTTTTAGAAATTTAAAATTAAAATTAAATTAGCCGTAAAAATATTGCCAACTTCAGCTTAAAAAAAAAAAAAAAAAAATTTTTCCAACTTTCATTTTTCATTTGAAACGTACGTGACGGAATAAGGATTGCCGGAATCTGCGGATATAAGATTTTTTTTTGTTATTTGAAACCACCTTCAATAACAACATATTGATTAAGGCAAGAAAATTTCTTTTTTTTTTTTAATATAAATTGCATGTTTAATAATAATTAACAAACAAAAAATTATTATTTTTTGTTTGTTTGTTGGTTTACCTTTTAACGCGTCGGAAAAAATATCATATTTAAAATTATTATTATTATTATTTATTTATAAAAACGCGTATGTACGTATACTACCCCCGTGTGTGTTGTGTATTTGTTTTGATTTATATTTAATATTGAAATAATAATAATAAGAAATTATTCTACGAAAATATTGAGTTTAAAAAAAAAAAAAAACGACGACGGTAATCATTACACAAGACGTAAATTAAAAAAAACGTGAAAAAAAATAAAAACAAACCGAAACAACCAACAAGGCTTGGCAAACGTACCACCTCACACACAAAAAAAAAAAAAAAACAATAAATAACAATAAATAAGAACGTAAATCATTTATTGTGTTAAGTCATATATGCCCGAACTCGAATTTCCCATAATGAATTTTTTACGCCTTTTATTCGTCCGTATAAATTTTCCATTCAAATTTTTTCTTATAGAAATTTCCTATATTACACCTCCACTTCATTCAAAATAGTAATAATAATAATAATACCGCGAATAATTACAAAAAAAAAAAAAATTACTTAAACGGATTAACGACGTGTTAATAAATTATTTTTAAAAATCTTAATTATCATTGAACGATTTTAATATTTACGCGGGTATTTACGCACGCACACGCACACTGCGTGTATTGTTTAAAAAAAAAAAAAATTTTCGGATTGTTTTTATTTTATTTTATTTTGGTTGTTGATCAATCGAGAAAATTTACTGTCGTCGGTCGTTATTAATTTAAAAAAAAAATTGTTTTAAAATATTAATAATAATAATAATGACAATAATAATAATAAATCCGGTTTTTTTTGTATAAAAAAAACAATGTTTCGATTTATAAATAACGCGGATTTAATTTTAATTGTTTTTTTTTTTTTTTTTTTTTTTTTTTTATCGAGGGCATAAGTTAAACATTATACCGGAAAACAAAAAAAAAAAGATTAAAAATTTTTATGTATTTTATCAAATCTATGTATAAAAAATATGTTGGCCAGCCTGGATTTTTTTTTTTTAAATTCGTTTGGGCCAAAAAAATCCAAAAAAAAATTTATTTTATTTGGCATAGTTTTTGTCGGGATAGTAAAGAGAGAGAGAGAGAGAAAAAAAAATTTTCCAAAAGAAATTTTTGACAACTGGAAAAAGAAAAAAAATTGTCAAATTCGAATAGCGATACCAACATTTAAAAAAAAAAAAAAAAAATTTATTACTTTTCATCATCACGTACGAAAAGGGACATAGAAAAAAAAAAAAAAATTTTTAAACTTTATACGTTTTTTCCTTTTTTTTTTTTTGTTTTCTTGACACCAATGTTGCCAACTCAATAACTAAAAAAAAAAAAAAACAAATAATTTAATAAAATACAAAACGTATACATATTAGGTGTTTCATTTTTAACAAGAAAGGTTACAATAAAAAAAAAAAATCACGATGATGATGATAATAATAGTATGAGAAAGGGAGTAATTAAACGATTGAGTTAGTAAATGTTGAACCGACGTTCATAAAAAAAAAAAAAAAAAAGGCAGTAAAAATTGGTCCACACATACACAAACACACGGATCCTGATCTGGGGCTCCTCCCCTGGCTTCGTACTGTCTACCAAGTAGCTTTTTTAGCAGTGTATCGGAGGCCGCTCTGCGCATAACACGGAATGTATATGGGCAAAACTCGCTGTGAGGCGCGCACTTCGCGTGTTTATTAAAAACCGAAAAATTCAATGTTTTCTTATGTTTTTCTGTGTTTTTTTTCCCGGTTTTTGTTATTGTTGTTGTTGTTGTTGTTGTAGTAGTATTTGATTCCCGCTAATAAATATTTCGGTTTATGAATGTTTGTTTCACCGCGAAAATTTTTTTGTCGTGTTTTCCACACTCTCTTTTTCTCTCTCTCTCTTTTCGCACGCACACACACACACACGCAACCGATTTTTCAAATAAATAAAATATTTTTCGGAGTTTTTTTTTAATACGTTGATTTCTTTTTCCGACGTTTTATAAATAAACGATATATATTTTTTATATAAATTGTGGTGAAATAATAATAATAATAATAATAAGTGTTAATAACTGAATACGTTTGGGAAAAAATAAATAAATTTGGAATACAAGAAGAAATAATTTGTTGTTGTGTTACAACAGGTACGTACCATATTCGTGTCGGGTTTATTTGTTTAACAAAAAAAAAAAAAAAAACGGCGGTAAATTCAAAAAAAAATTTTTTTTATACGCGTTGTCTCGAAAAAGGAGACGAAATAAATAAATTCGATGACGAAAACATAAATTAAACGTTTTTTTCTGTTATTATTATTATTATTTATTAATTAATTTTTACTGACTCGTTAATAAATTTGTTGTTGTTGTTGTTATCGTCATTAATGCTTTACTCGATGCTTAATTGTCATAAAGGTTAAAAAAAAAAAAAAAAAAATTATTTTAAACAAAGTATCAAATCGACAAAATAATAATCGATTTATCGAACGGATCGATTTAATTGTTAACAAAATAATAATAATAATAATAATAATAATTTCAACAATTTTTTTTTTTTTCACTCGAAAAATTTATTTTTTTTATTTTAAATAATAAATATTGATCGATCGATTGATCGTTCGATTTATCGATTTATCGTTCATTCCTTAAATAGTTTTTTTTTATATTTTGAGTAAATATATCAAAGGAATAGAAATCTAAAAAATTTTTTTAAATAATAATAATAATAATAATAATTCACGGTTTTGCGTGATGATTGTTTGTTGTCGTTGTTTGTTGATTGTTTCAAACGGAAAATTGTTGTTTTTCGTATAAAAAATGACGGGAAATTTTTTAGTGACATTTTTTTTTTTTTTTTTAACGGGGATTATTAATGGAGAGAAATAAAAAAAATTACGCGATGTTAATAAACGGTTTTTGTTTTTTCGGTTTGGGGATCTTTTTCGTTTATATTAGCCCCCCCAAAAAAAAAAACAAATCGCTTCTTTAAAATAATTCGTTATGACAACGACAGCGGGGAGAAAAAAAAACGAACGTATTTTTCATCCGTTCGAAAATAAATAAATAAGTAAAAAATCGCTGTCGGATTTTTTCTTCATCTTCCCCTTTCTTTTTTTTCTTCTTCTCTTTTCTTTTCTCCTTTATTTTATTTTATTTTTTCAAAATGAAAAGTTATAAAATTTAATTATGCTTGAATTTTTTTTTTATTTTTATTAACGTACATAATTAAATAAAGTAAAAAAAAAAGAAAAAAAAATTTTCGGTAAACGTTAAGAGGAAGAAAATTTTTTATTTTTATTTTTCTCCTCGAATTTTCGCGAAAAAAAAATAAAA